AGTCCAAGACTTCCTTTGCCAATTCGGTTAGAAAGGATTGCAATGAAAATACTTAAAACCGAGTATCTGGGAATCATTAAAAAGCCCTATCCGAATCAAAACTATGGAGTCAAAGTTGGACGTATTCGCTGGAGTCGAGAAAATAAACTCCACTCCACCACTCGTTAGCCTAATCGTTATAATTTAGCAGTTCCCTTTCTTAGAGGGTATGGAATGTGTAAGGCTTTAGCCTCAAAATCCTACCGAATTCACTAGGATTGCACTACTGAGTCGTGGTACTATTAAATTTAAAGGTTTTAAATGTTCTTTGCTGAACTTCTTTATCATTAATATGAAATTCTATTCCTACAAAATACGCCAGATATTTGTTTTAAGTTCATCAACGTTTAAGATTGAACCAAATATCAAAATTAATATTCTCTCAAGATTATTGGGCGTTTGACTCAATTATTCACTCTCAGGGTATACAAATGTATTCCCACGTCACTGGCCTTAAATCTACAGAAATGCTCGCAGAACGCTGCCTGTTTGATTTACATTTATAATTTTTTGAATGTCAACGATAACATTTGACTGACAATACGGCAACTAACCCTAAACCTGCTAATCGGCAGAAGTTCCTGTTCACACGAACGATGTGCTTCCAACATCCAGCCCTGTAGAAATTCTCGCAAAGGTGCATATGTTTAAATCACTGTTTGCTTTGAATATTTCATTGCTGAAAATCACAACAACGAAACAAAAACAACCAATAGACACTCACACACACACACACACCAACCTATGCATATACGTACAACGTGTGTATGTTTCCCCTTTTATGAGCGGTTACAATCGCCAAATGTAAATACATGCATGGCATTTTTGAACGAGGATGTTTTGTCCTCTGACAGAAATGGCTATTCATGCGTTAGAATGTATCAGTGAGTGAGTGTCTGGGTGTATGTGTGTAGATACGCCTGCATGCATACATGTATTTAAAGTAAATTTTAATAACTGCAGGGTTCACAATGAATAAAATTTATGATTTATGACCAGTGGCCGAATGAATAAACGAGCCGCCACTGCTAGGCCCCACTCTCTTCCTCCCCATTGGGCACTGGCCACTAACGGCCACATACACGGTGGTAGTTCCCCAAATCGTGGAAAATAAACAAAATAGACCAACACTGAATGCAGTTCGACGACAGACCAGTGGACAGATAACCGGCTAGTCACTGCATTGCGTCCACTAAATTCCCGTTCGCACTCAATTGCTTGCAAAATATGCTGAGCAGGCAAGTCCTGACCCATGTCTGTCCTGACGAATTTAATTTCTAGAATTGCATTGCTCCACAGCCTACACATGCAAATGCAAGTGTTTGGGTGCATTCACGTTATGCCTGCCATTCAATCACTGGCCAAGGGGGTTGTTCACAATTGTCTAATAGTTTAAAATGCAGTTCCATTGCGGTCACTGTGTATATGATTCGCTCTCTCGCTCTCTGCTAGCCGGTACATAAAGGCGTTAGATAAATGTACTTGTGATATGTCCAAGAAAAAAATACAAATTTAGATTTTTAAACTAGTTCCAAACTTACGAACAGTTCGCACAGCAAAAAAGGATTAAAAGAAAAGTTATGCGTTGCCATGAAAATGCATTGCATCGATTGGATTTCTTCGGGTGTCCTCAGCAAGCATAACTTGCAAACACACACATGTAAGGTTCAAACCACATTCACGGCTGTCAGTGAGCTTGGTTCTTGGGCTCATCAGCATAAAAGCAGGAAAAGAGAAAATCGACAATGATGGAACTTCTCATCGCTGCAATTGGCAAAAAAGCGACTAACGTGTTCTACGACTTACGTGGCAGACACATAAATTACACAACCATAAAACACAAACGTCGGCATTGTTGTGTTTAAATAAAACATGTCCTTGCAGAATAGCAGCCGTGAGAATGAGTGCGTCCTTCAAGCCCTCACAGTGGCAAACACAACTTGAGTATTTTTAAAATTTGGCTGTTGTTTTCATATCATACTTCTTGCTCCTTGTCGATTCGATCAAATATTTGCATATGTGTGTGTCGGAGACCCATCACGCACGGCACACAGATACTCCTGCATTTGCGTGCGTGGCTGTTATGTAAATAAATGGAGAACATCTAGCAACCAATGCCATAACGCACTTTTATTAAATTTTTCGAATCTTCCCCAGCAAAGACCAAACAAATTTGTAATTCTCAGTGACCGCCCAACCACACGTCACCCTGCAGGTACCCGTATCACTGCTCAGAGCAAGGGTACCGCAGACAAAATCAGACACCATGAATCATTTCGCAGATCGTCATCCTCAACATGTACGGAAAGACACGCGGCAACATCAATTCTCTAATTTCGGTCGAGGACCGACCAAGCTTAATGGCCAACCTGAAGTGTGGTTCTAAAACAAAAGGAAAATAAATTGCTACAAGAATGTAGTGAGGCGCATGCACATACATATGTGTGTTTATGGCCAGAGTGTGACGAGGAGACAACCAAGGTAGAAAATTCCATCATTGAGGTTTGCCATAGCCATTCCTTTGCTGGTAGTGGACAGGCGTCAGCAATAAATTCCACTCCATTTGTTTATAATTTTGCCCAAACCTAGACAAGGGTCTGTTTTCATTGGTGGAACAGAGGAAATATCCCTCAAGCAGACACACAGTAACCGACCGGTGAATCGAAATCGGTATTCATGGGCATATTGAAATAAATCGACAAGACATGCTCTCTCATTATCCGATCTATAGCATCATAATGGAAATTACTGAAAATTGTATTCTCTTGTATAAATATTTAGCACCATCTGTCATATCTGACCCCACCGAAGAGGAAATAAATTTTGCTTTTACAAATATTTGGGAAAGATCTAAAATATTGGAACTTTGAGATGTGCCAAGACTGAATGGAATCGGAATCTTTAAAACAGATCTTGTGTTGACGGAAGTATTGAAATCTGCCAAGTCTGAAAGAAATCGGATCTTAATTTCGGGTTTTATGAGCTTCATTAATATTCAATATTTTGACGCATTGTGGGGGAGGTACCAGAAGTCGCACCAGACATTGGGTTATCGTGCGCACCAGCCAGACAGACGGACAGATCGACTCCAAATGTCAAGAAGCGGATTTGGTCAAAAGAAAAGACAACATTTGTTTGTGACCTCTTCAATTTCTGCGTGAAAAGGCAAGGCAGCCAATTCAATGGCCATGCGACTGTTCATATGAGTCGTGTGTAATGAGGGCACGTTTTGTTGTCCGATTGTGTCAGTTAATGCCGTTTTTGTTAAAATGTCGTAACTTTTGCCAGCATTAACCATTTTGCTTTTGTGTATGGCCGAAAGAATATACAACAATAAGAACAACAACCACCCAACTCAAAGAAACTACATTTTGAAAGGAAATTGACTTCGAAATTGTAACCAGTTAATAAGGTTTCCAAACAAAAGCAACAGCAACAACACGTAATAACCGCAGCGAGACATTGGACCCCATTACATGGCAACAGATATTTGTGATAACATTTGGGCAGCCCTTACCCACCATATCTGCACTGAGCCAATGACCACATACCCCCGCCCTCCTTTTTCTGACTAGTGTTAATTAGTATTTAATCTTAGCAACCTTTCCATAAATCTAAGTTTTCTTACTTATGTATACGATACACGACACGGAGAATACGGACGTACATATTCCAGTACATCCCTATCTGACCGCACGAACTGTTTATACGCTTGCAAAGCACAGGGCTTGGTTAGCCTATGCCTAATGGACAAACGTAACAACAATTTCAGTAGCAATCGTGGATCTTAGGGCACTACCGGAAATTAGGACATTTCGTTATATCTCCAACCACACACAAATATGTGAGTCGAAATACTACCACTCTTTTTTTGTGCCCTTAAGTTCGAAGGCGAAGGGAGTAGGGTTAAATGGTTAATTAAATCGATAGAAATCTGGAGTAGCACCGACGATTCGTGCCTTGTAATCGGAGTGTATGTGCGGGTTTCTATGTCAATCCAAAGGTAGTGCAAAGAAGTCTACCTACACGCAGAAAAATATATGTTAGAAATATGTTTGGATCCAAACATATATTTGTTTGGGACTGGTTGCAAACAAATATATTTTTGGATGCAAACATAATTTGTTTCGGTGCAAACAAATATTTGTTTGCAACATTTTGTAACATAACTCAATTTTATTTGTTGGGTACCAACATATTTTATATGTTAGAACATATTTTTTTATGGGTGCGGAGAGGATTTTTTTCAAAGAGCTAAACAACAGAGCTCTCGATTACTTTTGAATTGGTGTTATAGGTGACTTAAAAGAAGACAGGAGGGTGAGAAGTCTGTTTTTGCGTTGATGATGTGTTGGCTTGGTTGGCCGCACAACAAAGCAGAACCGAAACATTTTTTGCTCTCTTCCAAATATAACTGTAAATAGAAGTTGTATGTATGCATGAACATTAGTAAGAAGTAACGTCTCAGCAACAACTAGAAAATACACACCGCACAACAACAACAACGAAAAAACTTTTTGCATGTTTTTTCGTTGCTGTTGTGCGGTGTGAATTTTCTAGTTGTTGCTGAGACGTTACTTCTTACTAATGTTCATGCATACATACATACATTCGTTTTTCGCATTAACACCGACATATATACAGAGGAGTCAATTTTTTTGTGTGTTGTTGTTGTAACGTTTTCTTTCTCAAGTAGGCATTTTTTGGTGCATGGACAATAAAAAAGAAATAAACGTCTCAGCAACAGTTTCCATCCCTCTTGCCGCGCACACACCACACATAGTTCCATCAGCAATCGGCAGTGTTTGCTTGGTGAGAACAAAAGAGCGTAACATTGGCGCGTATCTCAACTTGAGTGTCTCAACTTGAGACACGCGCCAATGTTACGCTCTTTTGCTCTCACCAAGCAAACACTGTCGATCGCTGCTGTAACTATGTGTGGTGTGTGCGCGGCAAGAGGGATGGAAACTGTTGCTGAGACGTTTATTTCTTTTCTATTGTCCATGCACCAAAAAATGCCAACAACAACACACAAAGAGCTGTTTGGATGTTTTTTTGTTGCTGAGACGTTGCTTCTTACTAATGTTCATGCATACATACATACATGCGTTTTTCGCATACACACCGATTTGCTTGATGAGAACAAAAGAGCGTAACATTTGCGCGTGTCTCATGTTGGCATTCTGGTTGTGTTCTTTTTTTATTCTTTTTATTTGTTTTGTGCCTTCGCGTCGTGTCACAAGTGTTGTAATAAATGTTGATACCAACTGTTTTGTGGGAAGACAAATTATTTGTCGAAGCGCCGGAGCCTTTAAATCTACAAAGCTTTATAAAAGCAGCCAAATTAGAGTTAAAAATTGATGCCTCAAGAAAAATAACAGCCTTAGTGTTTGGTGCAACCATTAAAGAAGACCAGTTTGAAAAAGTAATTCATCAATATATGTCAACACCTACTTTTCATATTGAGTTGCAATTTGGAGGTAAGTACACTGGATTTACAGCCTGTTTCTTTATGTCGGAACAAAAAAAATTTCGTTTCAAAATAAAGAAACAGGCTGTTAATATTTTTTTCTTTTTTTAAATAATATATTTCTTTTTTTAAATAATATATTTAATTTTCATTTAGACTCCGTTCGATCAGTGGCATCAGCATCGACAGTTAGTGGCACTCTATCGGAGTGTGAATCCGTAGGTGGTTTTGGGGATCTTACCCCAAAAACAAATGTTATTTCAACTTTAAAGACTGACATAGAGTCCATCAAGTCAATTCCGGCTGTCAACAAAATATGGAGAATTTTTATTGCCGAAAAACGCCTGCAAAATAAAGATAGGGTGAATATTTCGAAGGCCCTTATTGACGAATGTCTAAAAGAAGACCCTAACAGATTGTAAGTATGCATATTGATTTTAATCAGTTTTATTATTATTTTTTTTAGTATTTGCAAAAGTTTTATATTTTTTTGCTTTTATTATTTTTTAATACTTCAATAATTATTGTTATTTATTTATTAAAAAAAATATCTTTCAGACTTAAACGTGAAGATTTTGAAGTTCTGGCCGAATCGATTGTCCACATTTTTTATACCGAATTAGCTTCTGCATACTTCCTCCCCTCGGAGAAAGGCTGTATTGCTAGAGGAAAGTTGTGGAGTGCGTACAATAACAAAAGGACATCTTTACGTTCTGATGGAATAATAAGTCGAAGGCCTCGCAAGGACCTTAAGCGTAAAGCAAATGTGTCTCTCCCATGTAAGTTATTGGTTTATAGGCTACACCACTATGTGGTAAAGGATATTAGTAATTTATAACACCTTGAAATTAAAAATGATTTTTTTTTCAGCTGAAGCAGAAAGTATTGAGTACCTTACTGAGAATACCTCGGATTTATCTACAATTATTTTAAAGTGGCAGGAAACTCATGCTTATCGCCGAAACGAATTAAAAGGAAATATTTCCACATTTGAATATATCTCAAAGTACCCTGTGCTACAGGGTAACAATGGAATCAAGCTAACCACTTTGGACGTGAAATTATTGTATTCAGCAACAGAACCTGTTGAAAATTGGTTGATGATATATTCAAATGTTTTGAATCACGCACGTACTCTTCGGGACAAAGCAGTCTGCAACTTACTTACGAAAATCGATACATCCACTGAAGAACGTAAGTGTTAAAATTATAAAGCATTAATTAGTAAAACAAATATTTTATTTGGATCACGTCATAAATACAATATTTATTTTTTAGGATTGAGAGCACAATTGACCCTTCTTTTAATACCATACATCTTACCACACAGTGGAAAAAGACACGAAACGCATGAAAAGAAAGGTAGAGCCACTAAATTTGAAATTCAGGAGCGTTTTATTAAGGAATATGAGGTAAGCTATTTTAAAATATGTTAATATACAAATATTTATTACCCAAAATAATCAAATTTTATTTTAATTTACAGTCAATTGTGCAATTGAAAGAGGATTCTATTACGGACTTACAAATTAGATTTGTAAAATTTGGCCATGACATCACTTATGCGCAGTTTAACATCGCAGGTTTCATCTATAAATGCACTGATCTACTTGAAGCTTTAAATATAGGATTCATGTATATTATGGCTTTAGATGTTGCATACCCACCACTGTGCAAACACGTATGGGAATTTATCCAATTATCCATTTTCAACATTAAACTGCCAAACGAAAAGGTAGCTATTATTGAAACCATAATCAAAGACTTATTTTAATAATTTTGTATTTGTATTGTCTTTTATTCATTATTATATTCTTGATTTATTTTAATTTAAAGATCATTTTAAGTTACTTTACGATGACAGTATTAACTTGCCACCTTTGCAAAGCAAATTGTGATATTCTTAAAGATCTCATAAAACACTATAGGAAAAAACACAGAAGTTGCAAATTTTTTGAATGTCTGGTTTGTAGTCGCAAATTCACCAATATAGAATCATTTAGATCCCATTTGAGAAAACATTTATGTGTTGAACTTAGAGAAAGATCAGATGAACATCAGCCTGTAGTTAGTCAAGAACTAGATATTCATCATATTTCAAACGAATATTTACAAGAATACTCAGAGCCTGTGGATAATGAAGATTTTGAATCTAGCACTTTATTGTCTCTAAAAATAGAACAGATTCGAATGGAATTTCTGAAAGTATTTATTAAAATATACAGTCATAAGACAATTTCACGGAATTCAGCAATAACAAATTCTAAGCAAATAGTGCTGTTTTACAAAAAATACCTTCAGAAAATTCATTTGCAGTTACAGCTTTCAAAATGGGACGACAATGAAAAGAAAACGGAATTAATTTTATCTGTGTGTAATTTAATACAAGCAAGCCAACTAAATTCAGAATACAAAATTATATCAGAACTAAAACGTAGTAAATTATTTTTCGATATTGAATATCATAATATACAAGATGAAATTAATGAATGTATGGACATGGATAATTCAGTTGTTTTAAAAAAAATTAATTATACTGTAGGGATATTTCCTTTAAAAATATTTTTTGGCGTTCTTTTCAATTCTACCCCTTTTCTTCGCGACATTATTTTATATTACCAAAATTTGTTGACACACCAAAATAATGGCACCATAAAAAACTATGTTCAAAGTAATCACTGGAAAAAAATAATATCTAAATATCCAACATCGAAAGAAATATTTTATTTACCTTTGTTTATTTTCAGTGATGACTTTGAACCGAATAATGCTCTAGCTTCGCACGCTGGCATCCAAAAAATTTGTGGTGTGTATGTAAAATTCGCGTGTATGCCAGACCATATGGCTTCGAAATTACAAAATATTTTTACAGGAATGCTTCTCTTTAGTGAAGACAGGAAACAATTTGGAAATTCCCGTGTATTCACACCATTCATAAAATATCTGAACATCCTAGAGAGTGAGGGAATAATTTTAGATTCAGAAATAGAAGGATATAAGGTCGTAAAAATTGTTTCTGTTTTGGTTCTAGGCGATAATTTGGGGTTGAATACTGTTCTCGGATTTTCAGAAAGTTTTCAAAGCAATTTTTTTTGTAGATTTTGCAAAATGAAACGTTGCGATACGCAGACATCTTGTGAAGAAAAACCAAGTTTGTTGCGAAATGACATTAATTATGCTGATGATGTAGAGACATCAGACGCTAGACAGACAGGTATAAAAGAAACATGCGTTTGGAATAAATTAGAACATTTTAATGTACTTAACAACTTTGCCATTGATGTCATGCATGATTTGCTAGAGGGTGTTTGCCATTACGATTTGATATTCATTTTAAATTCATTTATTACAAAATATAAGTTTTTTACTTTAGAACAGTTAAATTATCGCATTTTGGTATTTAATTATGGTCCTAACTGTAAGAATAAGCCACCCATTTTAAATAGTGATGCTCTTCTGAAATTTAAGTTTAAAATGTCTGCATCTGAAATGAAAACATTTTCTTCTAATCTATCTTTAATAATAGGCGACTTAGTCCCAGATTGCGAAGAATGGCACTTGTATTTACTGCTAAGAGAAATTTTAAACATATGTTGTAACTCTGACGTTTTACAAATTAAGTCAAACGTAATACTAACAAACTCGATAACTGAGCACCACAGATTATATTTGAAACTCTCAAATTCAACATTGAAACCTAAATATCATAATTTGACTCACTATGGACGAATTATGGACGAAGTTGGTCCGCTAAAACACTTGTCATCAATTCGATTCGAAGCGTTCCACCAGCCTTTCAAAAACTGTGCAACTTCCACCAATTCTAGAGTTAATTTAATAAAAACATTATTCACAAAATATCAGCTTAACATCGCCAATACTATATTAAACTTTGAAGAGTTTTATACTAACAAAGTTGAAGGAGAGAGAGTTGTAGAATGCGACATAGAAAGTATTGTAAAGAAATTTCATTTACAAAATCCTATTTCAATTATAAACAATCTAACTATTAATGGCATTTACTATAAAAACAAAATGGTTGTACATATCGGATATAGTGAAGACCAGTTGCCGGAATTCGGCCTTATTTTGCATATTTGTAAAGAACCACAACCAATTTTTTGTCTGCAAAGAATATTGAATCATGGATTTGATTCCCATTTTTATGGATTTCGAGTAGAACTCGACGATTTTTTTTTCACACATCCAGTCGATTTATTGTACACAAATGACACATTTTATATATGTTCAAATTTTGAAAATAATTTATTTATAAATTGCCTTTAAAACATATGCTTATAATATGTATATGTTTTTTAATTTTATATTATATATTATAATATGTATGAATTTATTTTATGTTAAATAAAATGTGAATATCAAAAATTGATTTTAAAACTAGTTTGCATTATGGTTGAATTATATCTGCAGTAAGTATACAAATGGACCCAATCATAAATTTATGTTTGCACCCCAATATATATTATGTTTGGACCCAAACATAAATTATATCTAGGTCCAAACACAACTTATGTTTGGACCCAAACATAAGTTCGTTTCCAGTCAAACATACATTATGTTTGGATCTAAACATATATTATGTTTGGACCCAAACATAAATTATATTTAGATCCAAACACAACTTATGGTTGGACCGAAACATAAGTTTGTTTCCAGCCAAACATACATTATGTTTGGATCTAAACATAATTAATGTTTGGGTCCAAACATAAATTATGTTTGCACCCGAACATTAATTATGTTTGGACCCAAACATTAATTATGTTTGGACCCAAACATTAATTATGTTTGGACCCAAACATTAATTATGTTTGGACCCAAACATTAATTATGTTTGGACCCAAACATTAATTATGTTTGGACCCAAACATAATTTGTTTGCAGCACCCAAACATATGTTATGTTTGGGAATGTTTGCAAACATATATTTGTTTGCTGCAAAATATGTTTGGGACATATGTTAGAGAGGCTTATATTTTTTTGCGTGTAGGAATAGAAAAACACATTTTTAATCGCAGTTGCCGGAAAGGCAACTACAAAAGAAAGACTTCTTCTCTCAAATAGAGTTATGAGCAACGAACGAAAACCAACGAAACGATTGACGTACCCGTCTCACGAAGACACAAACTTCGTTTTCTTTGAGCGTTTTGTTTTTCAAAATCTTGAGCCGTATGTGGGGGAGGTACCACAAGAAATCTTTACCATCTTTTTAACAGATCTTGTGTTGATGGAAATAGTAAAATGTGTCAAGTCTGAATTGAATCGGATGTCAATATCGCGTTTTATGAGCTTCATGGATGGTCTAAATTTTGACCATTTTTGACAGACGTTTTTCGAAAATTTCGACTTTTGTGGGGGAAGTACCACAAGGGGTGGACCGATATTGCCCATCTCCGAACTCGATCTAAATTTGATAATAACATTACGATAAACGAACGATGTTGGGCCAAATCGGATACTCCCTTCGAGGGTTATCGTGCGCACCAGCCAGACAGATGGACGGACGGACATCGCTAGATCGACTGAAAATAGATTTGGTCCAAAGAGACTAGGGTCTAAAACCGTTAATTCTATGAGGTACGTTTTGGCCGTATCAAATGATATATACCCTCTCTAGCCATATGGCTGACGGTATAAAAAATATGTAATGACAAGGTGGAATCAAATGGTCCCATTGGATCCCACTGGCCAGTCAAGGAATGTGGACCATCATAAAAAGTTTCCATGTGCGTAGAACTTTGTTTTCGCTCGTTATTGCGCCATCATTCGGTTTTGTTTTTACCAAACCAAAGGGTTTTACGATAATACGAAAAGCAAAACGGCATTTATGAAGCAAAAAAAGTAACTTCCACTTCCATTCCACCCGCCAGTTTTGAATTGGTCTGGTGACCAGCAATCGCCCAGGTAAAGTGTCTGCTGCCTGCTTTCCGTTTCGCATTTAAAGTATTCTTGGCAAATGCAATTAATCACCTACACTACAAGAGTCACTTGGCCAATTTTGGATATCAAGAACCAACCTCAACCTTGGCACGGAGAGCACTCGTTCCGAACTGTTGGTCGGCTATTGCTCCACCGTCGTCGATCTTAAGTTGGCAGTTCCAAAACCCCAAATAAATGAACTTACAACACCGACACCGGCGCACACATATCCGACAAGTGACAGAATTTTCACATATGTATGCCGCAGTGTTGTCCAGCATTGCCTTTTAGATTTGTTCCTTGTTTTGGTTTTGTTTTAAGCGTGCATTTTATTTGGCGCTTTTTATTGCGATATCGCACACACTTTGCAAACTTAAGGACGTTTTATGGCAGGAGGAATGTGTTGCGAGACTCGTTAAAATAAAACTCATAAAATAGCCCTTGTTTTCCACATTTTCCGTTTCCACTGCGATCCGCATAAACGTCACCTCCTCGTAAAGTAAACTCCTCCACAATGTTGCAATAAATTAAATTACTTTTTCACTTCATAGATGAATATGCTCGGCTGGCTGTGTATCCATGTGAAGTAATGAATTCGACTCATTCGAGCTCAGGTGTAAAGGTGGATTGGAAATTTATTAAGGGAAACATAAGCGTGCAGGTTGTTAAATTAATGCCCCATTTTAATAAAGCGTTTTTATAGCTGCCACCGGAATGGAATTCGCAAGTAGGTAAATACGGACACATGATTACCATTTACTACGGAGGATGACGGTTGTACACCCGAATGTCCAGCTATCGATGGACAATTCGCAGATGTCGTCTTCGACAATGCTCCGAATTCATTCCAACCCAATTCCAGTCATCGTCCGTAATACCCATTGCAACATGTGCAAGGCCTCCACAGCGTCCCATCAAAGCTTTTAGCATATTTTATTAACTTAATTTAAAGTGAGTAGCAACCGAGTTCCACCTCCGGGTCGCTGAAGCACTCTCATCGTTCTTGTTGTCCACTCTCTTTGGCTGGCAGCATTCTGCTGCTACATCTTAACTGTGTTAGCTGTCCTTAGTTCCATTCGGACTAATCTATTTACGATTAGCAGGGAAATGCTAAATGCTCGTTCAGGCAAAAACGCCACTAATTGCATTGAGAAAAAGAAATCAGAGAAAATCGAAGCAAAGCAAATCAAATACTTGTAATCGTATCGAATAAATCGACAAACAAAACACCGTCCTCACCGCCATCGCATTTCGACACTACTCGCTGCTTCACAAATCCGCACACAGACACACAAGACTCGTAGAGTGACAACTACATGACCCAAACGCCGGTGTTGACGGATGGCCAAAGCCAATTCGTTGCAATCGCTCACAGCAGCTGCACGGAATTTGCTTTAAATGGAAAGAAACATAAACAATTGGCCATTATCAGCATAAATATTTATTACGGCCGTATGCATAAACACAATCGTGTCGCTGCTATTGTTGTTATTGCTGCTTGCGGAGATGCTTTTAGTTAACAACTTTCCAACGATAATCTCCGAATTTTAAACAAAACAGAAATCATTTTTTGTCCTTGTTTTTGGCTATTGGCTTTTTGTTTCTGCTTCTGTTTTTGTTGTTAGTTGCGATTGCCTTGGCTGCCGATGCAGCTACCGTTAGTTTATTTATTTAAATGATTTGCATACATTTGGCGCGATTCTGTGACAAGCTTTTATAGAAGCTTACTTGTTAAATCGCAATAACCGCAGCTAATGACCGAATGATTGAGGATTTAAAGAGGCCGTTTTTTTTTTTTTTTATTTGAATTGTCCACGGCAGAAAAGCAAATCGATTTACAGGATATTTAATATGACGATTCACAGAATGCGTGATAATTGGACCCTCAACATTACCATTAGCGTATTTTCTACTCTACAAATAATTTCCACAGCCTTCACCTTGGCATGGACCCAATAGTATTGGTATATATTTTGTATAACAGCGTTGCCCAAAATTCGACTTGCGTACACAAATTTTCAACTTCCCACTGCGTGGGAAAATGTTTTGTATGTCCGTTTTACGTAAATACGTCGGGTCCATATGTTAAAATCTACCAAATAATAACGTCTTAAAAACTGATACTTTATTAATTTCCAACCATTGTAATATTTCCCAATTACAAACATTTAAATTTTATTTGATGTTATCGAAAATACGCCCGCGGAATAGAGGCTTGTCTCTTTGCATTCTTTTGGAAGATCTGTACTCTCTAAAAAAAACTCTTTAATATGTCCAACTGCAGGTGTTCCTGACTCATTCGTTGCGGAGACATTTGCATTCGGTTTTCTTATTTAACGCTTCACGCCCACAAATGTTGGCCTGCTGATTCCTCAATGAAAATACATATGACTGGAAATTGTATGTGTCACAACGATTCGATTAATCCGCAGCTGTGTGGAATAACCCCAACATTCTATTCATGTTTCTCCCAAGTCCAAATGTGTAATACAAGCCAAACACTATGCAACTGGTTGTACAACCTGGAGAGGTTGTACCAAGTTGTGTCTCGGTTGTATGAAAAATCAAAATTTTGACATATTCGGCAAGTTGTTGCAACTGATCGTAACGAGTCATTTAAATCAAAATTATAATCTTATAAAATAGAATTGAAAACATTAATAATATATGAAAGCTATTGAGTCAATTATAGAGAACGAAATTATTTCCAGCGACATCTTAACTCAAATAAACTCTTCGCGAAGAAGTGAAGTTGTACAAAAGGGCTAAACACATAGCTGTAACGTTTGTGACCAAGGCATACAACTTGACTACCCTCCAAGTTGTTCCAACGGTTTTGTCGTGTGTGACTTACATAAGAAAATTGTAAAATAAGCAAACACAATTGTCGCATATCTTAAAAGTCAATTTGACACAATAAGACAATAGAACAGAGTTGTTTAAAAAGTTGTCGTCTCGAAGCTCTTCAAAAAATATTTTTTGAAAAGTCCACGTCTCGAAGCTCTTCATAAAATATTCTTTAAAAAGTCCACGTCTCGAAACTCTTCAAAAAATATTCTTTAAAAAGTCCACGTCTCGAAACTCTTCAAAAACAAGTAAAGAAGTATCTGTTGGTTTTGCCGACAGATGTATACCCTCAGCCAATGTTCGCTTATTTTAAAATAAAATATTTTGACTTCTGTTATGAATTTTCAAACTCTTGAATTTTCAAGAATGGGTCTATATTGTAAATTTCGTACCGGACCTAAATAAATATATATATATATATATACATATATATATATATATATATATATATATATATATATATATATATATATATATATATATATATATATATATATATATATATATTTTTTTTTTTTTTTTTTTTTTTTTTTTTGCTAATTTCAACCATTTGGGGGGAAGTACTAGAAGGAGTGGACCGATATTGCCCATCTTAACACTAGACCTTGGGTTAATTCAAATATTGGGATGTGTGAAATTTAATGTAATTAGAAAATCTGTCCTTGCATTCGTCAACATATTGGCTAGATTTTAGATTTAAGACGGGGTAGCAAAATATTAATCCATTAAACTAACGTCCGACATCTCGTCGAAAAACAATGACCACCATTTCAAACGCGCACAGGCCAAACTTCCCAGGGACATAACAAACAGAATCTGTACTTCGCAGAAAGCCCATTTGAAGCTTTTCATTGCATAATAAATTTCTATCGAATATTCATTATTATCTCGTGGGGATCTCTTTTTGGGCCATCAAATCATTGCTCAAAGGATATTGCGACAATTTCCAAAGTACATAAAAGCAATGAAGTGTCGGCACTTCGAATCCTTTTCCATTCGGCTAGAATTTGTGTGCTTGCGTCCAGACGAGATGTTGGTGTAGGACGACTACTAGTCCTTTGTGACCAGTCCATAAAAACGTATGAGGTGTTGAAGCGTGTAATGTACGATTATTTCGAATAAAAATGAATTTCATTTCCGTTCACAAAGTACTTATCAATTGTTGATCAATGAAAACTTCAGGGAGCGTTCACGGGAGCAATTGCACCTACACACACACCCACGTTCGCAAATAGGCACACAGATACTCATCCGCACAGTACGTGGGTCATGTGCGTTTAGTTGTTGTAGCTCCATTTTCTGTAATGACAGAAGAATAAAGAGGCGAACATAAAACGAAAAAAGGGATAATCATTGGAAATTGCCAGCAATTCAGGACTCATAATGATGAAAAATTCAGTCGAGTGGCCACAGAACAAGCACACACTCACACACATATGCACATCGAACTCGAACAAATTTTAAAGAAAAGGGCCGACTACAACGATTTCCTGTACTCATTGCTGGGCGGAAGAGTCCTTGTTCTGCTCGGCTTGAAATCGTACGTGAGTGGCGATATTACGAGATGATACTGGCCATAGTCGACGCCCGTGTGTGTATATGTGTAGCTGTCTGTAGTGTTAAACGTTTGGAAGGTCTCCTTGTTCAAGCCTGCCATGCACATCTCGTTGACTGTGGATTAGTGTGTGTGTGTGTGAGCGTCTAGTCCTAATGTGTTCTGACCTTTTTGCCAACATTTTTAGCCTATTCTCATTCATGGCTCTTTGTCCGTTGGTGTTTTCCCATTCATTGACTGGGAAGTGGATGGTAGCCGGAGTAGGCCCTGTTCGAAAGCTCTTCAACAGGAAACATGAAGTGCCCCTCAGCCTAGTCATCATCATTGTCATAGTTGCCAGCAGTAAAGTGAATTGTTACAAGACACAACAACAATAATCGTCTTAAAAGACAAACATACTGACTGACAGACTGACTGACAGTCAGGCGTTTGGATAAAACAATGACAACGTTTATGATTCACTAAAAACGGGACGTATTAAGTGGCTAAGGCGAACAAACGTTTTCATCATCCACTTACAGAGTTTGCGAAATTACCTCCACAAAAGGGCAATCTTTGTAAATTAGTATGTTGACTTCTAGCTGGCCGGACGAACTTGACATATTCATATCGAGTCAAGCAATTCAAGTTATTAATTATAGTCGGGCAGGGACGACCATGCGATACTCAATACCACTATCCAACCAGTGGAAATGTTGATATAAATCTCGTCCATGGTAAATTTTTGTTATAGCTACCCTAAGCTGGTATCTTAGGCTTTTTCTATTTTATATGTACAAGCAGATAGTCGAGCACAAGGGATTGTCCTATTCGAACTAAGATATGAGAAGCGAGCAAGTAGTTGAAATGGGAAAAGATGGGAAACAACAGCTTACTCTAACCTCTTGCCGCGATCACAAGTTAAGTTCGATTGGGTCGATTTTTCAAACCCTCCACCACAATGAGGTAAAGTCATAAAATATTTGGAAATAAAACGATTTGGAGATGTTATATGTGGTTCTTTGCAATAATGTTTCTTTCCCCTTTGGGAACACAAACTGCCGATTTTCGGCGAACTCGCTGCAAAATATGACTATATCGGCAAAAATACCTCAACTCGATGGGTACCGTTGTATGGGGAGTTTTTATTAACCTCCCACATTCTGTCCGGAAACTAGATGAATGACACACTTAATATGCCCTCCATAGCATGCATCATAGGGAAGTTATTTGACGTTTTTTGTGTTTCACATTTTAATTGCTTCCAATGTATCGACTCGAATCGGCGAACTACAGTAAGTGCAATGTAGAAATAGAACAATTCCGAAAATATTAAAGATTTACTTCAAGTAAGTAATGGCTGCCGTATGGCCAAAAGACTACTTCTTGTCAAATCTGGTTAATATAGTATTCCTTGTCGAATTAGCCACATCCATCTGTCTGTCTTTCCATCTATTAGAGATGGAGCTCCGAATTGTCGATACTTAAAATGGAAAACAGCCGTACACATTTAAGAATAGCTCCCACATAATAACACCTCCCGATCAGCTGAAACCTAATGGTATAGCTCTCATACAAAAGTTCGACTCACTTGTAAAAGTCGTAAAAGAGGGTCTGAGATAACGGCATAGCCTAGAAAGTAAGGGAATGAAAGTGGAAACATTTCAAAATTGACTTCAAAATCAACAATCAACCAATAAGCAGCTAACGATAGAAAAAGTTCTAAATTCACCACCAATCGCCATTATTTTTACTACACTTTTTTAATGTGTAACTCGAATATTTTTTATTTAACGCATAATATTTAATTTGTAATTCGAGAATTCCAATTGTAATTCGTGGTATTCCATTTGTAATTCAAATTGTTTCAATTGTAAGCTAATTATGTAAAATTTCGAATTAAAATTCGAATGATTTGTATTACAAATAGAATTCTCAAATTACAATTAAAATGTTTCGTATTACATCTGAAGAAGGTGTAGTTTTCTCCTGGGAAACGCCGAACATTCTCATTATCCCCGATGAGAATGTCCTCTTTGAGTTTTCCGATCTTTGTTTTTTACAATATATGCTTCCCATTTGTGTGTGTTTTTGGCGTTTTCAGCTGAAAGCGTATGCGATGACCTCCAAAAAGATTTAATCATTTTTAGGCCTCTTATTTCAAAAAAAGCAGCTGCAGTAAATTTAAGTACGCTTTTATTTGTAATTTACGAGTAGTTTTTTCAGTTCTCTTTTTGTGGTTGTGAAGAACCCACTCTGATTTCAAATTTATTGAACAAATTCTGCCGAAAAATGAGGCACATTATTTATTTATTTATTTTAAATCTCGACTTGTACATATATACTGATTTGTCAAACTAGACTTACTTCTGATTTCGGAAAAAAGGAAACCCCTAATTGCTGAGGGTTACTATCAGTATCCCTCCATGGATATTGAAGGACTCCAATTCCCAAATGTTGTTCCCTAAAGTTCTATTGGGAAAATTGTACGCACACAAAGTAATCTCGTGAACTGGCAACACTCATCTTTCAAAATTAAAGAGGAAAATTTTCTCCTTAGCGACAATGTGAAAATTGTTGTTACCTTTACCCGTATGGACGGTACAGACGATATCGAAATCCATTTCAGGAGATTAGGAGTAGATCTAGCGATGTCTGTCTGTTTGGTAATATCCAATTTCGTACAAATTTGGTACATCGTCATATTTGTATAAAACTTAGACCGAGTTCGGAAATGGACAATTGTGTATTATTACAGCTCTGATAAAATGCTAAATAATTCACTGATTTTTCTTTTAACTTCGAACAACACAATACTTTGTCACTCATGGTACAATTAAAAGGTAATAATTATAATTTTTTCTAAGTGTGCCCGACTTCTGCCAATTTTGTGTATCTATTTATTGTTTTGAAAAATTAAAACAAAATATTTTCAAAATCAATGATTGGAAGAAACGAACTTTGGTTTTTGCCATGAAATTCAAAGATTGAATACTTTTGATCATATTTTTGAGAGGAAATACAGGCATTCCATTCATCTTTTGTGATATTTAACTCATTTTTAAAAATGAGAGAACATATCAAATTAATGAAAATAACTTGTTGCATATAAATTTGAATAATTCTGACAGGAAGCGAGCATAGCCTCAGGGCTTTATTTATATAGTTTCACGAAACTCTTCTACCTGCTTATTGTACCATGCTTCCATCTACATTAGATCTAGTGTTAATAAGTTCCATATCGGCCCACAGGGGATCGACATTTTTCACATGGAGATATGGACGTATTTGGGTCATACAAACAATTTTACCATGGTCGTTGAAGGTGGCTCAATAAGAAAGGTTGCTCAACTTAAAAGAAACTAGAAAAATGCAACTCTGTGCTGGAGTCTTATAGTGGCAAATAGATTTTAAAATATGCAACAGTTGGTTTTGTTCTTATATTGGGGAAAACCTGAGAAACAAAAATGGAGTTTTGGGGCTGTTCCACAATATTGAATCTAAAATGGTAGCACTATACAGTTTTATTGTATTTTTTTTTTTTATTCAAAACATATACACATTTTGTTTATGTGTGTGTATTGTCTTGAAAAAAAAAAAATACAATAATTTGAAATTATTTTAAATTCAGTTGCAAATTCTGTTACAGAATAAGGGCACCAAAAGAAAAAAATTGTATTTAGGATGTATCTTTGTTCTACCTTCTGTAATTGTACCATGTGTCTGCTATTAGGTTTCAGGCCGAACCAACACCGGCGTGCCTTTTTCAGTTTTCCCAAAGTGGCAGCTCTGAAAATATGACATTTTACTTCCTTCTTTCATGCCGTACACACAATAACAAAAAACTTTTCATCACATTTGACTGAGCGTTTATATTTCAAGTCGAATTGAACGTTATGAACGACTACTGGTGTCCCCCGAAGTGCAATGCAAAATTTCCTCCTTGTTTTGAAAAACATCCTGGCGTGACTTCAAAATCGAATCCGGGCAATATATTGGGACTACACAACTTGGCCAATCGCATAAAGCCCAGTTTCTTAGATGGCATAAGGCTAAACTATCGCCACAGTCTGAAACCGAACAAAATGCTTACAGCAAGTTGGAGGCTGAGCCACAATGAACCATCGGGCTTCCGATTCGGTGGCATTTATACAGTTCGCTTGCACGGAGATGTCATGGTAATTCCTAGGCCCCCGGCTCGAAACATGAAAAATAATCTTCTTCTCGTTTTAGCAAACACCTACCATTTATGCCGACATCAATCCTGCCAATCTGTCCACGGACGTCGGAATTGTCTACCATCCTTATCCACAGCTGCGTGTCCAAGCCGAAATGCAGAGGGCAGCCCTAGGTGCGCCGACTTTGGAGACCCAAACTTGCATTGAACTCTCCACACATTCTGCAACACTCACCGGGATGCTCTACAATGCCCGCAGAGAAAGTGGTCAGGGTACTCTCTCGTACCTAAGGGCAATCAATGATAAATTGTCAGTGGGCGGAGAACTCTCGATTGAGTGGACCGATCCCTATTCCATGATGACGGACATAGCGTTTGCAGCGCGTTTCCGCCAGCGGTCCTATTCCATTGCAGCTACCATTTCGTGCCAGGGTGTCGACGTCAGCTACTGGCAGCGTCTGCATCGGCGAATACAAATGGCCACGCTGTGGGCGTGGCAACGCAAAACGGAACAATCTTTGGCCACGATTTGTTATCAGTGGAACTTTGAGGACGCCCATGTGCGAGGACAATTTGATTCTAATCTTTCGGTTGGCTTCATTTATTCGAGGTAACCCTGAAGAGTTGTTGTTGGTTCTAAAGCCTGGTCACTTCGATTTTGTTTTTAGCAGGGTCATGCCACACATACCCCTGAGCATGGATATGAGTCTGTTGATCAACTTTCTGACAAATCGATTTGTGTTTGGCGTAAACTTTACGCTGGACCCCAGTGGTCTTCGCAGAGGTGAGTAGTTGATTCCTGCTGCTCCAGGACCGTTTACAAGACTCTTAATAAGGAATATTCGATTTCCCTCCCACCTATTGTGAAATGGAGAACATGTCCGATCAATATCTATAACTAATATTTCTAAAACTATTTACTGCTTAACTCAAAATCTGAATTTGCTAATAATTACTGTTCGATTAAAATCGCAATTCGGAGCGTTTTTCTGATCAGGGGGATACTTATGCGCTGGTTTCATTCTGACTATCGATGGGCCCGATGAAATGTTATTCTTTGCTAGGCTATGGTTCTGATTTCGGAGAAGTAAATCAATTAATCTTGTGAGTCTTCACCTCTTGTTAAGGTTCGCGGGTGAAAATATAATTAAGACAAGTTAAAAAGTTTCAGTCGGGTTTGTCGACAGATGTATGCCCTCAGCATATGTTCGATTATTTAAATATATTTTGAATTGTGTTATTGTTATACAAACTCTATGAAGTAGGTTTCAAATAAATGGGCCAATATTGTCCATTTCGTATAGGACCTAAATAAATATGATATAAATATTGCGACGCCCATACCTGACTATATCGACTTCTTCCTTCACTTGATATGAGATATGTGATATTTTTAGAATATGTTAAAATGTGCGTGAGGTACCAGATATAGTCCACCGAAGTATTCCATTTTTATACTTCATCTAATACAGATAAAAATATTGGTATGTTTAAAATTACAAGAAAATCGAACATTTATATCTAATTTTATGCGAAATCATAAATTCCGATAAATTTTTATATTCATATAAGGTTTCTGGTTGAGAGAAATATTTGGGCATAGCAAGTTGTAAAGAATCGCTGATTTGTTTCGCAAGTTATGACAGATAAAAGTGTTGGAAATTGTGACCCTTTGTGGGTGAGGTACCAGAAGGGGTTCGCTTCGCTTGAAAGGGATGTGTGAAATATAAAGAGAACCTGATGCTTATTTCGGACTTTATGAACGTTTTGGTTATTCAAAGCTTTGATCCTTTGTGGGGAAGGTACCAAAAGGAATGTTCCGATTGCTACCTGTCTTTCTAACAGATCCTGTGTCGGTAGAAATATTCAGATGTGCCAAGTTTAAATGGAATCGGATGTTAATTTCACGTTCTATGAGTTTCATGGATATTCAAAATGTTGACCTATTATTAGAGAGGTACCAGAAGGAGTGGGCCGATATTGGGATGTGTGAAATTTGATGACAATCGGACTCTTACATCACGTTTTATAAGGATTGTAATTATTCAAAATTTTGACCCTTTGTGGGGGAGGTACTTGATGGAGTGGACCGATATTGCCCATTTTCTCACCTGACCTAGCACTGACGCAAATATTAGGATTTGCAAAGTTGGAGCAAAATCGGATTATCGCTTCATTTTCTGTGCAGAAAATGTATTTTTTTGAAAATTTCAACTAAACTCGATCTAAGTTTGATAAAAATATTACGATGTACTAAGTTTGGACCAAATCGGATACTCCCTTCGAGAGTTATCGTGCGCACCAGCCAGCCAGACAGACGGACGGACATCGCTAGATCGACTCTGAATATCCTGAAACGGATTTGGTCCAAAGCGACCTAGGGTTGTGACATTTCACGAGGTAATATTCAAGGCCTATATAAGGTCGACCAAGAAGACTTCTCATAGTAGATTTTGAATAATTGTGACTTGAATCTCTTTGAATTTCAAATACACATGTGTCTTTTGGCCATGGTGATATTTTTATAAGTTCCCCTCCCGACATGTCCTGTTAATTTCGGTGTCAAAATGTTGACTTGAAAATATTTCGGAATCGCTGCGACGGTATCATATATTTATACTTTTGGTCTACTACAAGGATTGTTATCTATTGCGAGTCTTAATTGACAAATTCATAACACCGTGGACAAATGTGGCTAGGATCATCAAAACACCGAATAGTTTTCTGACATCAGTTGTAAAACTCATTATAAACTACAAATGCCGAAGAGAAACAAATAGAAAACAGCAACATCAGCAGAAATGGTTCAAAAGTAAAGAAGCGACTTGATCGCAACCCGCGTCGCATTGAAAGTGGCCGAAATTAGCGAACTGCCGAGTTTGGTTTTCTCCGATGAGAAAAAATTCGTTGTCCAGCAGTTTGTAAACAAACAAAATGATCGCGTTTACTTGCCAAAGAGGTCAGCTGAAAATGTGCACCTTCTGTTGGCAACGAAAACTCAAGCGCCGGCCATGGAGATGGTGTGGGCCGCCATAACAGTCGATGGTCGCTCTCCGCTCGTATTAATCTACCGTGACCGACCGGTTTCAAAGGTGACCAATTCGAACAAATTTAAACTTATTTTAAAATTTTATGCTATTTCCGATATGCTTTGCTTTCATTCATTAAAATTAAAAAAAAAAATTAAAAGTTATGACGTTTGACTTTGTGGCAGTTTTTTTTATCTCACCCTGTATATTTGCTCACCCTCATTTCCAAGGTGGAGGGTGTAAAATAGGTAATAAATAATTCTGATAATTCTGTGTCCCAATGTGTCCCAATTACATTGACCTTGAGCCTAACAGTCGCCACTTTCCTACGAAAATACTATTATGTCTGAATCAAGTTGTATTTAAAAGTGAGATAGTCTGCCCTCAGCCTTTTACAGCGTTACTCGGCCGATGTTTTTCGTCACTCAAATTAAACACATCTGTTGATATGAATGTTGCCAAAATACGACGAGCGTACGAAATTTCAAAGTTGAACAATTTCAAAATTGACCAACAATTATCAATCAAAAAACCTTCAAAATAGACAACTGATGTTGAATAATAAGGGTTGATTCATATTTGTTAACTTTCTTCAAGGAACCTAATGCATCGTCCGATGCAAGTGTCATTGGTCCGATGCTAAATGTAAAAATTGGAGTGTATAATAATACCAATGTCGGGCAAATGCTGTAAGTCGTTAGTATGGAGATTTAAAATAAATCCGGCCGTGAGAAGATCTATTTTTGTAATGGTAATTCTAGATGAATAAATCTCCTTAAATAGGTCTTGGTGTGATGTTAATTCCGTCCAAAAGTATTCGCAGCAAACTTTCTACGTACTTTTGTCTTGCGAATCTTTATTTAGGTTTTGAGATATGTGAAATTGATTTAATTTAGCTATTCCATTATCTCCATTATTTTCGAGTTTTATGAAATATTAATAGCTATTCACAAACTGTCTCCGTACTTCTCAAGGCAATGTTAATAAAATAGATTTTTACGATGTCACAACATCAGCACGGGCATATCGTTTCCGGAAATCAACATCTGAAGAAACGCAACCAGAAATTATCCTGGCAACGTTGAGGTTTATTTTTAGGGCAGAGAATTAATTGGAAACGCGATAACGCATAGATATGAACCTGTTATAAAATGCCAGAAGAAGGAAGTAGCATCAGACGAAGCTTTCCAAGAGACACATCATATTCGGTGGATACAATCCAATCATTGATTGGCATTGAATGGAATTACAAAATGTCTATGCGATGTCTTCTTCAGTTAATCGTCCGTAAAAAGATACTAAAGATTTAAGGTTGTACCTGCGATAATTGATAAAAAGAGAAATAAACGACGGCGCAAAGATCTAAATCAGAATCCCTTTTCAATAGCTGCCTCATGAGTGATACTATTTAATATATGGGAGGATGTATTCCACACTTCGCAGGCAAATTACCTCAGCTTTATGCGAGGGTGGGTGTGTGTGTGTGTGTGTGTGACCACAATACTTATTCCACCAACATACACGAATTGAATAAACAGCTTCAGGTGTTCATCGTTCAAATGAAATCAGACAAAGTCGTCTGTCTGCTAGTCGGTGTGATGACAGCGTTCTCTGTCGTGTCCTTTGACTACCGTGACGTACATTATCGACAATTTGCAAAATATCACATTTTTGCCAACTCGCCAAAGTATCAAATCTTTGCGAATGCCCTTCGGCCTTTCGATATCGTATCCCTTTCATTACAATGTTTAATGTACGTCGGTCCGTGCTTCTTTTCCCCCGCAACGGCCAAGCACGCCAAGCGGACAGACTCCAATTGCGTGTAAGTTGTGTTTATGTTAAAAATCAGAGAGCAAATATTTAACAAATGCTTAGCATTAGCCATTGTAGCTGCTTTTATTTGTAAAACATTGACTGACTTCGAATGCCAAAGACCAGGAACTCGTTCGACGGTCGATGCTGGTGGGTGGCTGGCCGCAGAGGGGCGGCATTGGAATGGCAAGACAACAGGGCCAACACACATCTTAATTTAATACAAGGGCATGGACAAACAATCTTATTCAAGTTTAAAAGTTATTTGATATTTATTGGTTTGCCTTTGGAGGCGAAATCATTTGTAATTTTGCTGGCATTCAAGTGCTCTCAGAACTCGACAACTTGAATGTCAACAAATTACAACAAATAAGCTTAATTTTAATGAAATTGTCAAATGATGAAGTGGCTTACAACAGGGCGGAGGACGTGAAGAGTGAAAGGAAATGGACAATGAACCCAAAGGGATGTAATCAAGTTTCGTATTAGATCCTTCAGGTGGCACAGATAAAAACTAAGTACTCGCAAAGAGTTCGTTCAAAAGAAGGAGAGGGAGGTTTGAATAACAAATCGATAGACAAATGAGTCGGATGACAAATGAAATGAATAAATGTGGATGAATATTCGACTCAAACGATTACAAGCCATGGTATAATTATGCCAAGGTAACTCCAGTAACTTTACTTCACTTCACTTTTACTTTACTTCAGTTTAACTTCTTTGAAAACAGGTTCCATTCTCTCGTTTTACGACTATAAATTTCCTGTTTTCTGCGCACCTATTCTGATCAATTTCATGGTAGAGCAGGGTTTTCACATTTATTCACGTCAAAATGTTACCTCGATTTTCAACCGAGCTGTGTCTTCAAAATGGAAAAGTATCTTTTTTCAAGATGTTTATAGGTTGCAATTGAAATGTCAGAAAATAAAATCAGAATATCTTAGAGTTATCTAATGACACTATTGCCGTCCAATTCCAAGTCGCATAAACAATGTATGGATCTTATTAATTTAAAAAGTCGTAGATTGACCCGTACTCACCCTATCTCGCAGTTCAAATAATTACTGGTTTACGAACTGTTTTTCATTGCAACAGAAAGCCGTTAGCGAAAACTCGTTCACAAAAAGTGTACCG